TATATACATATATGTAGAAATTAATACATACTTTCCTTGGGAAGCCATTTCAAATATTAATTTTACATATGATAACTTTTAATATATAATAATCTTATTATATATATTTTATAATCTATAAAATAATTTTCCTCATTTACCTATAATTTCACTCATAAATTTGTCTCATTCCCACACAATTTTTCTTTTAGAACTATAATGCTATTGATTGAGAAACATCGTTTTAACATTTTTCTATGCCTGTACTTTATGGATAAAGTCATACCGACAGTTGTCACTTGCTACGATATGTGTCGGTAGTGACGGTGTTCAGAATGATGTTCGACGATGTGTCGGTCATGCAAGTCATCATGGACAAACGTCGTTATTATACGGAACAGATAGTTGTCGGTAGGCATGTACAGAATACGGCTCAGAATTGAGCCCAAGACCTCTGACAAGTTCGCTGTCTGTCATGCCAGGCTCGTGCTTATATGTCGCTGTGAAATTTGTAATTTATTTTGTTTGTCAGCAGTAAATTTTGGAAAATATATTTGGAAAATGTAGACTGCGAATGTAATAAAATTTTTAATATTTTCTAACAGTTAGTACTACGAATGCTTTGCTAGAAGAGTTCGATTAAGAAAAACCTTGTCGTTTTATACTGTACATCATATTACGATTGTTTAATATATAAAATGTACCTAAAACTTTAATCACTTATGGTTATACGGAGTCAAATTAAACCTAAAATAATTTTAAAGGTCTGTCTCTAATTAGTATATCTCTGTTATAGTATTATATAATAATAAATCTTTTATATTTTATACAATAATTTCGTATGCTTTTTTTTTCAATGATTACATTTTTTTAGTTTTCATAATACCTTTTTTGGAGGGAAGATAAACCGTTGTACTATTTTTTTCAAAAAGTCTCTATAGAGTATAGTCATAAATTTTTTATAAAAAAAAGTTAAAAATTGAAAAATTGTGATTTTTAACTAAAAACTCATTTTTCAAACATTTTTTTTTATTATATTACAATTAAAATCTTTACAAAGCTACTGTACTTTTATTTTCTACAATTTTTTAAGTATAATGTTCAGTAGTGTTTTTTTTATTCCAAAGAAAAATTGCAAAGAATATGACAATCAGTTAAATAATTTTCATTACATATAATAAATGATTATGATTTATTTATAATTTTTATTAATTACACGTTCTTATTTGATCTTGATTATTCACTTTAATTGTCGGCGGTAATAGATATAGGATATGGCGTAATTGTTTTATTTTTTTTTCTTTTTCTTTCTCCAATTGAATAGCCGCATCCAAAATGTTTATTTTGCAACTGTTGGAAATTTTTTCACATTAATTGTATTATATTTTTAAATTTGGTGCAATAGTTCTATCCCAGCGAATTAGAGAACTTCCAACGGTTTACAAAATAAACTGACTAAATTCTGCTGAACACGAAAGGTCGTAATATGCTTGAATGCGTGATTACGGAAAGATACTAAGGAACAAAACAAAGCGTTCGCGAAGAGGTGACTAGAGATAATCAGAGTGAATTTGAAGCAATCTCGTGAGACAATATGTGCGTCCAATGCATCTCGGGTCTACGTAATTGGCCGATTTTTAGTTCACTGGAGTCGGATTTTGTTTCGCAGATTCATATGGTTTTCGTATACGGTAATTCGCTATTTTCTTTTGCTTTTCCTATTGCTTAAACTTTTAACTTCCAATCTTAATAGCTCACATCTCCTCTTTCTAAAATAAAAAAGACGTTATTACAGCAGAGTAAACAGTAATGGTAAATTTACGAAGTCAATAAATACAGCCTCGATTGAAAATATTAGGCACTTGTGTGTTTTTTATTGTTCTCTTTCATTGGGAATTTTTTACTTTTAATTATTGTCATCTATTAGTTATCGGCATTGTACAAAATTTTAAAGGGTTCTTAAAACAAAGAATAATTTACAGCAAATGTTATAAATAAATTTTTCAGCTGAAACTTTAAATGATGTTGACAGGGTGTGTAATATTTCTAGTCAAGAGACTGTGTTCAGTCGAGACATATTCGACGAGTTTCATGAAAAATATTTATCGTAAAATTAAAAAGGATGAATCACTCGGAATCAAAGCATAAACGTATTCATCCTTGCCGTCACTCATTTTGGCACTTTTGGTAATGTTGTTTATCTTGTTTGATAACAGGTGAAGACGGTAAAGAAATTTTGATGGTAATGAAGAATAAAATGGTGTACGCCATGGGTAAGAACTTCAATGGCTTTTTGGGAACAGGGGATAAAAACTCTACATTGTATCCAAGAAAGGTGGATGCTCTTTGCAAGAAGAATATTAAGACATTTGCTTATGGCAATGGGTCTCACATTCTCGCACTTACGAATGAAGGAGAAGTAAGGAAGTTAATATTGGAATACAAGTAAAGGAATACAAGGAATACAAAGAAAAAAAAATTTGATATTTTTTGTTTAACACGTTACTTCTCTAGAATATACAACAAAAATATTGAGCACTTTATTAATTATTATTTAAAGTTTTAGTTCAAGAATTGATTAAGGTATTTGCTAATTATTATTGTAAATTATCTTTTGTTTCAAGAATCTTTTAAACTTATATAATGTTAGTGATCAATAGATGATAACATTGGCAATGCAGATAAAAGATTTCCGAATGAATGAAAAAATTATAAGTGTCTATCATTTTTTTACCAAAACTATATATAATTCTGATCCTCTCTTCGAAACACGTAATTTTCACTAATATACGAATTTGTTAAGCATTAAGTTTTTTTGGACTCTTGTAAGAATAAAATAATTGACGTTCTTATAGTTTTACAAAAGAATATTTAAATTATTTTTTTCTTCATCGATGCTTCTGACAGTTCAGACGAATTATTAGAGATTTTATCTCGATTTATATTCATTGCCAAATCAATTTTATGCGACGTATTTTTGCGACGTTAAAATTATTGATAGTATATTTTCTTCGAAAGGTATATTCGTGGGGTTCCAACATTTACGGCGAACTGGGACACGGAACATGTGATTCATCAGTTTTCACGCCTACTTTAGTGCCCACTCTAGGAAATTCTGTGGGCTCTGCGCGCATCGTGGACATTGCGTGTGGGAATCATCATTCTGTTGCTTTGACCGAGTTTGGTGATGTAAGCAAAAGTTTGAGTATAATGATAACCGTACGTTATTACGAGCCATATTAGATACTTACTTGATTTAATTTAGGTATACGTTTGGGGACAAAATAAATTCGGACAAGTGGGTAATGATAACAACATTAATCAAAACACACCTAGGCTAGTGGATTCCAGCTTGGCTAGGAAGAAAGTTGTCTGCATTTCTTGCGGTGATGCCTTTACCATGGCAGTCGTCGAAAATGGCGAGGTGTTCGCTTGGGGCAATAATTGTATTGGTCAGCTGGGTATAGGTGATGAGGAAGATCGAATGACGCCTTGTCGGCTTGATTTACTGAAAGGCATTGTAATAGGTAATTCTTTCATCTGGATAAAATAAAAGAATAAAAGAATGATAAAGAAAAATGGGATCATTGAGCAATCGATATTTTTTCAGTCAAAGTGGCTTGCGGATTCGAGCACACACTGGCGCTTTCGGATGAAGGAAACCTCTATTCCTGGGGTGGAAATGATTATGGCCAATTGGGCTTCGATGAGAAAGAGGTCTATGAACCAGTCATGGTAAACTCATATTTATTATCATCATAAAGAACACAGAAAATAAAAAGAAAAAATGAAAGTTATTATCATATAATCAATATTTTGCACTATCAGGTCGAGCATACAATGGGAAAGGTATCCGACATCGCGGCTGTGCATTTTAAAAACATAAGCATCGCCATCGGCGAGGGGGAATATGTCTACATATGGGGTAACTGCTACAATCAGATCATCAAAATTCCAACTGCCACTACGTTTTCGAACATATATGACGCTCTTGCATGCTACGAATCGTCGAGCGTTATGCACAAACCCCTAATTCTTTACAGTGACAAAGAGCCAAGTGTATTGGAGTGCCTGGAAAATTCATTCGATGACGAAGTATGTGTGTCTTATTCTTTATCCTGATATAAATTAAGGATAAAATGATCACCTATATGACACGTAATATCACAGTAATATCATTTTTTCATTGCATTATTACAATGAAATCTAGTAGAAACATCGTTGAAATATTATTAAGATGTCATAATAATATTGCAATGTGCGAAAATTAGTCATAGGAATATTACTAAGATATATCACAGAAATATTATAATATTATGAAATATTTTTGTGATATTTATATAATGTTTATATTTAATGTAACATTTATTGGGAACAATTAAAACATTTTAAAGAATTTAAAAAAAAATTTATTGAATTGATATTTTAAATGTTATTTTAAATTATGTTATTTAAAAATTATTTTATCTAAATATTAATTAGAAAATAATACTGATTGTCAATACAATAACTATTATATAATATTATTATAAATTGAAAAATATAATAAACTAAATATTATTTATAAGATTATGTTATATACATAATTTTATAATACTTATTAACGTCTTAATGATATCTCTAATGTTAATAAAATATTATAAAAGCGTTATTAATTATAATAATGTCACTCTACTTAAGGCATCATATTGCCACAATATTACTGTGATATTTCAATATTGATTATCAATGTGATACAGCAATAATATTTTTGAAATATTGCAATATTACTGCGATACTACGTGATATTACGTGCTATGTGGGCACTGTGTTATACTGTGAGTGCTTTCCAGCAAGGATACAGTCAGACTCAGTGAATTGTTACATCCTTCATGTTTGCCTAAGTTAAACAAGGATGAAACGATTCACTGTATTACACAGTGTTTGACTGTGTCCTTGCTGGAAAGCATCCTTTGTCTCTTGTCAGAAAGCACCAATAATACAAGTAAGACAGTTCTTAGCTTGAGCTCTTTTTAACAGAAATTTAAGGAACTTCTTTTAGGAGGAAAAAAATACTGAAGCGAAGGAGCACTTCATTTAACACTTAAAATTGTAATACATTGTTCTTGATTTTAATTCATAAATGCGACAAATATTTTGTGTACTCATTATCAGTTAATATTGCACACATTTGTCTGTAACAATTTTTGTTCTGATATAGCATACAAGTGATCTCACAATACAAGTAGAAGACCAAAGTATTTTTGTGCACAAAGCTATTTTGAAGATCCGCTGTTCGTATTTTAGAAACATGTTTCAACATGATTGGACGGAAAACAATCAAAGGTAATTATTTAACAAAGAGTCGTTGTTATTTATATTAAAAATTACAAAATGTTGTTCATTTTGACAGTGTTATCAAGTTTGATCAATTTTCCTACGTCGTCTACAAAGCCTTCCTGAAATACTTATACACTGGCACGATCAATTCACCTTTGGAAAAGGCGATAGGTAAGTCGAATACAGGCCATAAACCAGTTATCGGCCTGAGTTTTAGAACAATGTTTTTTATTATAGAACTTTTGAAATTGGCTGATTCTTACTGCGAGAGTAATCTCAAGAAGCACTGCGTTCGGATAATAAAGCAAGGAATTAGCGTGTCGAACGTTGCCTACTTGTACAGCGTTGCAGTTCAATACAATGA